GGGGGGGGGGGGGGGGCGGACTGGAAATAGGCAGAGAGAACCGGGGGAGCCACCATTTATTTGGGGTTCATAGCTGGGGGGAGGAGGGAAGCGAAAGGTGAAAGCCAACAGGAGATTTCTGTTTCTTTCTTTCTTTTAATTCGCCGCGGCTTCTTCTGGGCCTCTTGGCAGCTTTTGATGTCCTTCTTCCCAAGTTCATTCATTTTTTTTTGCAGCGGGGGCGAGAAAATTGAAATTGGGGAAGGGGAAAGAAGACCTGCTCGTGGAAGGGAGTGTGTGTATTCCGATATATGCGGGGGGGGGGAATACTCAGCTGGGGGAGAGGAATCGGCTGCTAATGAAATGCAAACTGGTAATTTTTAAAAATGGAAAATGTAGAAGAGCGGGTTGTAAGATCTCGGATTCTTCAACTGTCAAATGACGATTTATCCCCCCCTCCTCTCCTCACCCCCCTCCATTTTTTCCCCGCAAAAAGACTTTATGGCAAAATAATCGAGGACTTTGCTCGGCCCCTAAGGAAGCAACTCGGTTCTTGCTTGAAGTTTCTGCCGCTCGAGTTCAAGTCGGCTCCAGACTTTTGAACGTTTCGCTCTTTTTCGCCCTTTTGCCAGAGAGGCGGTGGGTGGGTGTGAGCTGCGTCGTGAATTTTATTTTATTTTTAATTTGCTCCCGCGGTGGTTCGGCTGGTCTTTTGAATTTTATTTACGCCGGGTTTGGCTGTCTTTCGCTAATGCCGGGAGGAAATCTAGGCGCAAGATTTTGGAGCAGAAAAAGCGAGGGAGGCTGCAATGCGGTTTAAGTTCCTTTAAAATCAAGTAGCAGGAAAGGCGCCTGGTTCAAAACTGCGGAGCTTCAACCCTTAAATGCGGTAGACGCTTTGGTTGATTTCAGTGGGATTCCTTTCCATGTAGAGCAATTTTGAGACAGGAAAATTAGACGTTTCGCCTCAGCGGCGACCCCCCCTCCCCAGTATATGGACTCTAACGAGCTTTCCTTCATATCTGACTCGCGATTCAGCTGCGTTTTCCAAGGAAAGGACGGCTCTTTGCAAAACTCTTAATTTTAATTTTTCGTTGCTGTGTGGAGGTGGAGTTGATAATTATGCCAAGGTTCGGTAATTGCATTCCGCCCCCCACTTAAGATAGGAAAGGGGCGAGTTTTCTCGTCCTCAGTGTTGGTCTTTTTTGTTAACGCTTCAAGTGCCACGGTCCGCGCTTCTCCGGTTCTTGTTCAAGGTCAAGACAATTCCAAGCGACGGCCTTTTCTCGGTCCTCCCAGGCCGCTGTAGGCTGGTAGAAAGACTTTCTTCGCTTCCCCACTTACTGTACACAGTTCTCCCGTCCGTCCCACTGTTAACAAGTGAAGCAGTGGCTTTGCAGACCTGATTTAATCCACAGGAAAGAAGGAAAGTTAACTTGTTTCTACAGTAGCATCCAGGTTTAAAATACTCTGACCTTTTATTCTGCCTTTCACCACTCTAGGAATGGACAAAACTTTCCTTCCTTCCTTCCTTCCTTATATTAAAAGTCATGATCGCTTGCTTGCTAATAGGGTCCCCGCAGTTTCAACAGGCAAAAAAGCCCACCGTTTTCGTCTCCCCTGCTTCTGCTGCTGGGCACTCAAAGGAAAACAGGTTTCTCCAAGACGCTGGTCTGCCCCCACCGCGCGTGGATTGTACAATGCTGAGATAAATAAACTCTCAAATAATACTATTTTCACGACTACGGAAATTGGCGAGGAACCGCTGTGGCGATTACTGTTCAATCTGTTTTTCAGGACACGTTTCAGCCAAGCTTCCCCATCTTTCTTCCGAGGATACCTTTAAACAGCAACAAAAAAACCTTCCGTCCTTCTAAAAATTATTTATTAGGGTTTGTGCAGGTGCTCATTACTTAACTTCCTTAACCCCCACCCCCGGCAATTTTGGCGAGACAGGAAAGGAGAATATGTTGCACCTACTCAGTTCAGTGGGGTTGACTCCAAAAATGAAGCGTGTATCGGATTGCTGGGCCGCATTAGGATTTGTCAATTTCAGGGGGAAATTCTGTTAGTGAAATTAACCAAAAATCAGGCGGCGTTTATAAGATTTGGATCCTTCCCGGGCCCAGTTCCCCTTTGCTTTCCTTTCTTCCCATTTTTCCAGTTTTGGAAGTCTGTTGAAAAACTATATATTACACATATTTTGTGTGTGTGTGTGTGTGTGTGTGACACAACCCCCGAGTTTTCTTAAAGGGTAGTAGGAAAGTAGAGGTTTTGAAGCAAAGCAAAATGGGGAGGGGGGGGGAAGCGAAGTCTTTTTCTCTGCCCTCGCTGTTTCCCGCTTGATCCAACCTGGAAGTGTCTGGTTTTGATACGGACCCCAGACTCAACCATTTAGAGTGCCTGGAAAAAACAAGCGAGAAGGGGCGCTGCGGAGATGGAAAAGGTCTTTTGAAGCCGAAAATCCTTTTAAGGATTAAAACAAAACAAAACAAAAAAACGGTAGTCCAGGTTTCCGGATCTCAAGGGCCTCCTCCGCGGGGGAGGGGGGTGGGGAAGAAGGGAGAAACGGAGGAATCGACCCTCTGGTTTGCAAGCCAGACGCCAAGGCGGATTCTCAAACCGGGCCTGAAGCACGTCGCTTTTGCTCCGTGTCCTTAAATGCCTGGGGGGCGGCTAGTTTCTAATTCCCTCCCCAGCTCCCACCCCAAATCACCCTCATTTTCCTCCCAGAGAGGGACCCCAAAATTTGGCTTGACCAGATTTTTTTTTTAAGTAACCTACCTTGGCTCGCCCACCCGCGCTTGTAGTTTTTTGATTTTTATTCTTTTTTATTCTTTTATTTTTTTAAAGAGGTGGACCCGTATCTACTTAATAAAGGGGGAAAGCGTCCTGTGTTTTCGAAACAAAAAAAGCAGGATAAAGCGGAAGGCACAGAGTTTAGATCCAAACCTCCTTTACTGGAACGCGTCTTCCTGGGTGATGATGATTTTATTAATATTATTATCTTCCTTGATTACGGTCGTGATAGAGAGAAGCCCGATTCAAAACTCTCCTTGCTTCGCCTTTCTCTACCTAACCACGTTTCAAGGTGGCCTTTTTAAAACCAGTGTGCGCCCCCTCCCCCATTTTCAAGTTAAGCAACCCACGGTCTCCTCAAGAGAGGCCTTCTTCCCCTAATAAAAAAAAAAGGGGGGGAGGACAGAACATCTCAAGTGGAAAAGGAGCCAACTGCGCGCGTCCCTGCTTGGAAAGCAACTGCCGTGAAGTTGAAGGTGCTTTAATGGAGGTGGATGGGTGGGAAATGCCCGTTTTTCCTGATCTGAGGGTCTCACCGGCTTGCGTTGATCCAGACCGGGAAAAAACAAGGGTGGATTTTTTTTTTTTAAAAAGAGCTCTGAGAAAATTTGGAGTCGCCAAGAAGTTATATAATCTGAGCGCCCGCCACGTTTCCCCCTCCTCCTGTTCATTACTGATGAGGAGGAATATGATGGTAGTAATACTATGCGATTTGCTTTCTTTTTGCTCTGCTGAAGGGTTTGGGGACCCTCCAAAACTTGCGACTGATTTGGTAACCTTTATGTTGACTTCATTAAAGTATACCTTCAGGCCTTTTCCTCTCATCCCTTTCCTTCCTTCCTTCCTTCCTTCCTTCCTTCCTTCCTTCCTTCCTTCCTTCCTTCCGATTCCTGACTTCCCTGTGCGCAAATAAGTTACTTATGAAGCCCTTCAGCTGGCGAAGGTGGAGCAGCCCAGGTGGAAAAGAAACAATATAGAAGAAAAGTGTGCATGCGCG